TCTAAGCTTCATTTTCTTAACAGGAAAATGGGATGATAATAGCAATTATCATAACTATCTGACAGGAGAGTTAGTTTTTAAAAATCTCAGGTAAAAAACATTTGATATGTTTTATTGTAATGTTTATATAATATACTTTCTACTAATCTTACCTATTATTTTATTAAACAGTAAACATAATTTCTAAAGCTCCCCTGACATAGAAAGTAGGAGCTGCATCTGCCACCCTCTGTCACCTTCCATATCAGTGTTTTCTGATCATTTAGATTGACATTTGTATTTCTTTTCCACAAAGAAAAATTAGCTCTTAAAATTTTTATCAGATTTTTGTGCATGACTTCTTGTCTCTTACATTATCCTCTTGGATTCTGTAGCATATGCTGTCGGTGCCCTGTCCCATATTCCCTTGGCCCACATGGGTTCAGCAGTAACCACAAGAGATATTTGCCCTGGCAGCTTTCCACATCAGGAGCCTTGATCTCTCTTCTCTGCCTGAGAGCTTTCTCAAGCACCAGGGGAGCTTTCTCAGCTGCTAGAAGGAGCAGCCAGAAGTGCAGGGAATGGCAATCAGTGGATAAATGTCGCAGCATCCCTGTCCTCTGTTAGTGTGATTCTGAGCCATTTTTCTCACACGTGTTCAGAGAGTTCCAATTTTCCACAATATTAACCTGCTCATTAATGTATTTTCCTTAGCTTTTTTCCCACCCTTGTCTCACTTTCCCAGTTTCCTCGGATCATCTTCCAAATAAATAATTACATCCAAGTCCTTCTCAAATTGAGATTATCATGTTTTTTCTCCTTTGTCTCTTACATTGTGGTGGTTTTCAACAATTTATTTTCAAAAATTAATAAACATGGCATTCCGAAAATAAACTTAATATGGTTGTAACACAGAGAGATCAGTAGATAAGTTGATTTATTTTGTTAACATAGTACCCTGTAATTTTCATTTCTTGTAATGTCTTATCAAGTTTGGGCATCAAAGTTACATTGCCCTTACAAAATGTGGTGAAGAGTATCCATATTTTTCTATTCTCTAGAAGAGTTTGTGGGAGATTTTTGTTTCTTCCATTTTAAATGCTTAGAAGAATTCCTCATGAAAGTCATCTGGACCTGTAGCTTTCTTTATGGGATGATTTTTATTTTTATTTATTTATTTATTTATTTATTGTTTTTGCAGTACGCGGGCCTCTCACTGTTGTGACCTCTCCCGTTGCGGAGCACAGGCTCCGGACGCGCAGGCTCAGCGGCCATGGCTCACGGGCCTAGCCGCTCTGCGGCATGTGGGATCTTCCCGGACCGGGGCACAAACCCGTGTCCCCTGCATCGGCAGGCGAACTCTCAACCACTGCACACCAGGGAAGCCCTATTTTAATTTTTTTTCAATGAGAAATTGATTGATTGATTGATTGATGGTCATGCTCCCACAGCTTGCAGGATCTTAGTTTCTCAACCAGGGATGAAAAACCCATGCTCTGCAGTGAGAGCACAGAGTCCTAACCACTGGGCCGCCAGGGAATTCCCTGGGATGATTTTTAATGTTTCATTTAGTTGCTTTAATGGATAGACTTGTTCAGATTTTCATTTTTTCATGAATTGGTTTTAGCAAGTCACGTTTTCTAGGAATTAATACATTTCATCTAAGGTGTCAAATTTATTGTCAAACTAGTTCACAGTATCTTCATATGAATTTTGTAATCCCTGTGGCATATTTTCTCTCTAAGGATTTATTAATTTAAAAAAATTTTTTGTCATAACAGTGGTGTTTTGAACATGAGAGGAGGCAAACTTAGCTTACTGTTCCTTATTTAACTGTAATTCCAATTGTTTTTAATGACTCATTTACTCAAGTCAGGACAGAAAAAAATGGAAAATTTTCTCAAAGAGATTACCTCTCACAAAGGATGTAAATCAACTTTAATGGCTTCTGAAGTGAAAATTTCTGAAGCTCCCATTCTGTGCTGTCCCCCACTTCCCCCCAGCATTTTGCCCTAGAGAGATAGTCACACACAGGCTCTTTATTGGAGCCAGAATTTAAATCATAGCTTAAATATCTTTCTGTTTTCCTCATTAAACCTCCTCCAGGTTGAACGCCCTACTTCCAGGAAAAACCACCCTATTTCACCTGAACTGTCCAACTTGACCAATCTTACTCCAGCCTTTTATTATTTAAATGCGGACAAAAATCACGTCTCAGAATTGCAGTAAGGATTAGAGATAATGCATCAAAAGTAACAAGCACAGTACTTGATTCTTAGTTGTACCATAAGTAGTAGTTATTATTATTGCTTTCTGTGCTTGATTCCCCCCCTTCAACACACTAGACTGTAAGCCCATAATGAGATGGGCAGTGTTTTATTTACCTATGTAAATCTCTTCTTTGTGGTCAGTAACTGGCACAAAATAGACATATATTTTTTGTTTGAGAGTCTGAATTGAAGTCCTGATATTCCAATAAAAATTTTGTCCCTTAGACTCCTGGAACCACTACAAAGTTTCACAACTTAGTAAAGGTACTACGAATATTTCCTGTATTATATAAGAGGGCATAGTTGAGTGATAAGGCATGGACATATCACCAGCACTGTGATATGCCTAGTGCATATTAGATAGTTAATTTTTTTAAATTGATTGCATGGTGATGGGGTAGAGAAGAAAACAAAACTCCCCTAGAGAATTTGAGCTGTTTTCAAATGTGTGCTTTAGCAGCAGTATGCCTGGCCTGTAAGGATATTCAATGTTTTAAAATACAGTATTACTCTTTTATTTTATAAAGAGCTCTTTCAAATCAGTAAGTAAAGAAGAACAGGTGAAAAGACCAGCAGAAAAGAACATCAAGAAAATTTACAAAATGTGTATCTGAATATTAAACATAAGTAGTATTCAGAAACTACAGACTTACAATAGAGGAAATTCTATCTATATATAATTAAATAAACTCAAATAGGCAAAGAAACAGCTTGAAGATCTTATGTAGAACTGGTGGGGGTGCAGGGAAGAACATTCCCTTATAAAATGATGGCATGTTGGCACAATATTTCTGAGAAGAACAATTGGAAAATGCATGTCAAAAGTTTAAAAATTAAACAATACTCTTTGACACAGCATCTCCTTTCTTAGGAAATTATTGCAAAGAAATGATCAGACAACTGTATAGGGATATAGATGCAAAATTTTATTACTTATGGAAATAAAAAGTAAAAACAAAATAGACCTTTTTAGCAGGGAATGTTACAGAGACAATGCACTGAAGGAAAAATGTCAACAATTAAGGAAACTTTTATATCTTAATTACTGATGGGTATTAATGGATTTTCTTGCAAACACTCAAAAACAAAAGAATAAAAATAACAATTATTATGATCACCAGATGGCAGCGTGGCTCTTTTTTCAAATGGAGCACTTTGCCATTGGTTCCAGGTTGTCACTCCAGAAGTTCAAAGGTTTTTGTTTGTTTTTGTTTGTTTTTTGGCGGTAAGCGGGCCTCTCACTGTTGTGGCCTCTCCCGTTGCGGAGCACAGGCTCCAGACGCGCAGGCTCAGCTCCAGACGCGCAGGCTCAGCGGCCATGGCTCACGGGCCCAGCCGCTCCGCGGCATGTGGGATCCTCCCAGACCGGGGCACGAACCCGTGTCCCCTGCATCGGCAGGCGGACTCTCAACCACTGTGCCACCATGGAAGCCCGAAGTTCGCAACTTTTTTAGCCAACCAAGATTTGTAGTGTTAGTATTGAAATCAAAACTGAGAGTTATAAGGGAACAAGAACTTACCTAGTTCTGACTCCTCATATCCTTTCCATGCCTGACTTGCAGGAATCCCCTTTTACTGTATCACTCACTGTGGTTAACTCCAGCACATTAGATCACCTCCTACTGAAGCTGCCCACTGAGATGTTAGGGAACTTTGTACTTTAAAGTTCTTCTTTAAATGAAAATATACCCCCAGTGAGCCAAGTCAGCTCTGGTTCCTGGCACCACAAGAGAACTCTCCCCTTCAGAATTTGGAAATATTTGAAGATAGCTAGCACTGTTTTCCCACATTTAATCTTATTATTTTTTCCAGGTGGAAAAGTTCCCAGTTTTCTGCTTTTCTCATGTTTCTGTGTTGCTTTAGTTTTCTCTTTGTATTCTACTGTCATTCCCACTTTTTCCAGGCAACCATGTAGCTAGCGCTTAGAGCATGGGTCTTTGGAATCCTGACACCAATGCTTCCTACTTGTATGTGCTTGGGCACATTACTTAAACACTCTGTCTTTAAGATTTTTCAACTGTGAATTAGGAAAATAATAGAACCCGTGACCTCATAGGTTGGTGGTGAGGATAAATAGGACAATTTGTGAAAAGTAGACAGCATGATACCTGGCACACAAGAAGTGCTCAACTTGTGTTAGCTAGAACTAAACTTCTGTTTTCTGTAAAATAATACTCAGCTCGTAAGTTATCATAGGAATCTAATGAGAATGTCAGTAAACTGCCTAACACAGCACCTGGTGCTCAGTAAGCATGACACAGGAGAGCCAGTGTACAGGGATGCCTAAGGCCTCCCTGACTCAAGACTAATGAAAACATAAATGATGGCAAGAGTGGTGGTCTGGTTTTTTATTTGTTTTGTGAGACTTTACTTTTTTAAGGTAGTTTTATATATGAAGCAGAATGAAAAGGAAGGCAGAGAAATTTCTCATAGACTCCCCTGTCCGCACACATGCACAGCCTCCCCCATTATCAGCATTTCCCATCAGAGGGGTACACTTGTTGCAACTGATGAACGGACATTGAACATCATAATCACTCCAAATCCATAGCTTACATTACGGTTCACTCTTGGTGTTGCAGTTTCTGTCTACTATAATATTCCTCCTCCCTAAAGAATGTCCTTAACATTTTTGTAGCACATCCTGCTGGTAGTGAATTCTCTCAACTTTTATTTGTCTCATGGAGTCTTTGTTTTACCTTTCAAGTAGTCCTGTTTCTGACTAAAAACCTATGTGTGATTTTTTTTCAGATCTGGCCATAGGCAATTACAAAGTCTTTCTGGACCTGAAACATAGACTGCCAGATATTTCTCCAGCAAAGATGGGTTTATTCAGGATCAGCAGAGAATTGCAATCTGGGATCTGCAACCATGGCGAGCCACATGCAAGTCCCCACACAGCAAAAGAAGAAAAGGGGAAAAGGAAGTTGGGAGGGCTGCAGTTAACAAAGAGTCAGTGGTTTTCTTTGGCTGAGTCCTTGCCAGGAAAGGAGAGGAGACTTCTTCCTCTTGGGCCCTGCAACGGCGCTGGGTGTGAGAGCTCCCCTTTCTGGTCTCCCAACTCTATTTAATGGAGGTTTCTGTTTATTAATTTTTTATAGCTTTATCTGGCTGCCCTCCCCACACCAGACTTGGAGCACAGCCTGTGTATTGCAGTCTCTGAAAGGAATTGCAGTCAGTGACGCAGGTCCACCCCACCCCTACCCCCGTCCCCACCCCACCCCCCATCCCCCGTCCACCTATGCTCTTATGTATATCTGCATTCCTAGTTCAAGTGCCTCTGGGGGCCTTTTCACTGGGGCTCTTGGCAGAAGCCTTTGTCAGACACTTCTGCCGATACCCCTTTGTTGGGAAGAGGGGAGGGAATCTTGAAGCCTTGTTCTCCGCACTGACTCAGCACTCAGTACTTTTCCAAGCCTAGCCTACTCTCCCTGGCCCTGGCTTCCAGGTCCATGAAATTGCCGGGAGCTTTCTCATCAGGGCTCCCTCAGCAGTGAGACAAGCCCCACATCTGTGCTAATCCACTTAACCCTTAACTGAGGCACCATTCCTTGAGGGAAAATGGAATGGAGGAGTCAGTGCTTTCTCCTGTTTAGCCTCTTGCTTGTACTGTGACAGCAAGTGATTAAAAACTTGTATGTTATTTTCATTTTGCCTTGTTGTCTAAATTGGCTACTCCAACACCTGGCAGCTCAGCTGTCTCAGCTCAGCTGAGCTCCTGACACCTTGACTTTGAAGATATTTTTATCGTGACTAGAATTCTGGGCTGACAGTTTTGAGATTCAGAACTTTAAAGATGTCATACCATTGTCTTCCAGTTATGACATATACTTCTTATCTTTATTCCTCTGATTTAATGTCTTTATTTTCTCGATGTCTCAAGGTTTTCTCTTTATCATTGATTGTCAGCAGTTCAAAAATTACGAGTTTAGATTTGTGGGTGGAGTTGTTTGGTTATTTGAGGTTTTTGTTGTCTATATTGCTCATTATTTATTCTACCTGAGGTTTTCCAGACATGGACCTTTGGCTTGATATTTGTCATTGTTTTTGGAAAATTCTTAGTCAAATATTACTTCTACCTTGTTCTCTACTTTCTTCTGCCTGTAGGACTCCAGTTGCATTTATGTTTGTCTGTTTGTCAAAATGAAAAATCATCTAATGACTGCTTTATTTATTGTGCCAATAATTTGTTTTAATTCTTATATATACATTCATGGGTAAAAAGACACTCTAGTGTGCCTTTCTTATCCTGTCTTCATCTGGTTTTGTTATCAAGTTAAACTAGCTTCACAGAATAAATTAAGATGTAGTTCCCTCCTTTTTCATATTCAGAGATTTTGTAAAGGATTGGAATTAACTCTTTGAAATTGTTGGAGAATTGCCTATATAACTGCTGTACTTGTGCTTCCTATAAGAGAAGATAATAACTATTTTTGCAGTTTCATTTATTGTTATAGGACTATTTAGGTTTTTTATTCTTGATATATTTTAGTAAGTTATATTTTATCAGGAACAGTCATTTCATCTAAGCTGTTGAATTATCAATATAAATTATTTGATGGTACTCTCTTACTATATTTTAATCTATACTGGATTGGTAGTTATGTATTTTTTTTTTTAATTTTATTTATTTATTTATTTATGGCCGTGTTGGGTCTTTGTTTCTGTGCGAGGGCTTTCTCTAGTTGCAGCAAGCAGGGGCCACTCTTCATCGCGGTCATCGCGGTGCACGGGCCTCTCACTATCGCAGCCTCTCTTGTTGCGGAGCACAGGCTCCAGACGCGCAGGCTCAGTAATTGTGGCTCACGGGCCTAGTTGCTCTGCGGCATGTGGGATCCTCCCAGACCAGGGCTCCAACCCGTGTCCCCTGCATTGGCAGGCAGATTCTCAACCACTGCGCCACCAGGGAAGCCCTGGTAGTTATGTATATTTAAAATTCTCTTTTGGCTTTCTTGATTCTCTCCATTTTACCTTTGTTTTCTAAATCAATCATTTTTATTAGTTTCCTTTGTTTTCTTAATCTACTCTTAGTGCCTTCCCACTGCTTTATCGGGAATAATTTTGTTGTATGTTTCTTACCTTCTTTTTTTTTGTTTTTAATTAATTAATTTTTTAAACATCTTTATTGGGGTATCATTGCTTTACAATGGTGTCTTAGTTTCTGTTTTATAACAAAGTGAATCAGTTATACATATACATATGTTCCCATATCTCTTCCCTCTTGCGTCTCCCTCCCCCCCACCCTACCTATCCCACCCCTCCAGGCGGTCACAAAGCACCAAGCTGATCTCCCTGTGCTATGCGGCTGCTTCCCACTAGCTATCTACCTTACGTTTGCTAGTGTATATATGTCCATGCCTCTCTCTCGCTTTTTCACAGCTCACCCTTCCC